ATTTCTTTTAACAGGCTTCTGAAAGTTAAATGCATTACAACTACAATATGACTCTGATTTCTCCCTAATGCCATTTATGTTTGCTAAAATTATGCTAAGTAAAGAACAAAGTACACTGTGTTATTCCCATTTATTCCACTCACGCCCATCATTTGCAAGCTGATTATGCGAGCCTCATACAAGGGAAATCAAAGAAGAGTTAACCACTTTCAAAGAATGGTGAACCAGTATAGATTTTGTCAAGTGTATTTTCTTACACAGCTACTTAAGAAGGAGCAGCAAGTTCTGCAAATTCACTGTACTGGGGAGTAACATTGAAAAGGACCACTGCAAAAAGGCATGAGAGAGAAACCAGGTATTCTAAGTAATAATTTTGAATGTGACGCAGAATTGCACATAACGACAAAGAAATGTCGGCATGAAAGCCATGTGCTGTACTATATGCTTTTTAAAACATCTAAGTTGTGAGATTTATAGAGAGAAAAATACTAGTTCAGTAATATTGATTTTTGTTTTTGATGACACATCCTGTGCTATTTGAATTAAAAGTGCATACATCACAAATCTGAGTTTGACAGCTACTTTCACCTGGAATGAAAAGTATGAAAATGTTTTATTGTTTGAATTTTCAGAAATATCAAAATTTCTGAGGAAATTTAATTGCTCCTGGCTATATAATAATTAATATTGTTGAACAACTTTATAAGAGAAACACTAATTATTTCTATATAAATATATTTCAAAGTGGAATTTGCTTCTCAACATACTTCATTACAGCAAAATGATGTCAGAAAAACAACAGCTTTACTTTGATAGCATAGGTACACTAGGTTACACCAAAGCATAGCTTTTATCACAGAAAATCCTGATCTCATAAAAATTACCCATAAAACACTTGGCCTAAGTTACCTAAAGGTACTTTATATGTTAAAACTCCTTCTATGTGAAAAATTAAAAAAAAAAAACTAAAAATACAACAAAAATAATAATGAGAATTCAAAAGCTTCATGGAAAATGGAATTTATTTTCATGTAAAATTTTCCAAATTCAGGCACCTTTCATGTACATTATGAAGACTCAAGTATGCACAGATTTCTTTAAAATGTTGTACTAAAATAAGGTCAAGTCTTATCTCCACTTTCCATGGATCTTTAAGAGGCCTTCATTTTGGGCCTGGCAGCGTGGCCTAGTGGCTAAAGTCCTCGCCTTGAATGCACCAGGATCCCATATGGGCACCGGTTCTAATCCTGGTAGCTCCACTTCCCATCCAGCTCCCTGCTTGTGGGTTGGGAAAGCAGTTGAGGACGGCCCAAAGCTTTGGGATGCTGCAAGCGCGTGGGAGACCCGGAAGAGGTTCTTGGTTCCTGGCTTTGGATCAGCTCAGCACTGGCCCTTGCACTCACTTGGGGAGTAAATCATCAGATGGAAGATCTTCCTCTCTGTCTCTGTATATCCGACTTTGTAATAAAAATAAATAAATCTTAAAAAAAAAAAAGAAAAAGATTCCTTCATTTTTGTATTATAATCCATTCTTCTAATTAAGAACCCAATCTATTCAGTACCTCATCTACTGACATCAAATGACATATGATCTGCAACAGTACGCATGAAATGTACAACCCTCACATGCTTGATACAACCCTCCTACACATTCAGGACTATTCCATGTGGCAAAGTGAAGGCACCCGCCATGGCCACGGTCACTCTCACTGGGAATCACTGAAACAGGTTGAACACAAATACATGTGTGCTAGCTTTACTCTGCGCTTTTGTACTCAAGTCTTTGACCTTTGACTCCTTTCTCTGAATATAAAAAAAAATGTTTTAAAAAATTATACCCTCAGAAATGGAATTCATTAGTACTGGTACTAAGCATCATGAAAAATATCTACACTAGCTTATGCGTGTAAAACACTCTTACAATTAATTTTCAGCTCCACATTTCTTGCTTACCTTTCAAAAATTAAAATTATTTTGTTTCCCTGCAAATTTTCTAACCTAGGTTTTAATACCTGCTACAGAAAAATACTGACAACATAAGTGTGAGCTAATCTCAGTCACCTAATAGCCATGTGATGCACTATTTTTATCCTCCAGAAAAAGCTGTACATATATTAAGGAGTTAAATCTTAATGTATTCTAGTGATAGAACACATTTTTCTCAACCTTGTTCGAGGACACTGTGTTTTAAAATTTAAATATTGTGTATAGAAATTCCCCTTTATAAGTTGCACAATTACTAAGCTTCCAGTACCCACTTCCCTTGACATGACACCTCAGATGAATAAATAGATAAGAGCTAATAGTGTTTTAGAAGTGGTGGAGTGAGATATCTACAAAGACCCAGAATCGCTCTTACATTGGCTTTCTCCTTCACTTTCAATTCACTGTAGACAATAAAATTTAAAATTAAATTACTCTGTGGCTATCTCCAAAGCCATTCAGTAACACCAAAGCCATCTTATAAAGATCCAGCTATCTCCTACGGGCACCCCTTTACCTCACTGCAGAGTTTCCCCAGGCTCCATGCTTGTCTGTAAGAATGTTGATAATCTTCTGGATGAGTTGAGTTGCTGTCACATGGTCACGATATTTAGCTGCTCTTATCAAATGATCACACATCTTCTCTTCTTCTCGCTTGTCTGCAGAATATTGGGCACACAGCGACTTGGAGAGAATAAAAGAAATACGAATTAATGGTATAAGCATACAAAAAACATGACTGCATCAGCACAGAATTTTTAGCATGAACCAAACCAATCAAACTTTGATAACTACTTTTAAGTTCTTCATTAACCTAACTTACCAGGATCTAATAGTCTATTATCCGAGTACATTATCCTCCCCAAATTTACTTTTAAGAAGTCAAACATAAGATACATTCAGAAATGGTTAGCATGAAAGCAGAGCTCTGAGCAATGCAGAGCAGTCCTTCAAGGAAGGTGCCCTGGCCCAGCATTCCAAGGAGCCCAAGGGAAGCTGGAAAGGAAGTGAGTTAGGGCAACTGACAAGTGGGAGATGCAGATAAAGGCTGCCTCTTTTCTTCTACGGAATTATGTTATGGGAGTTAGATTTTACTTATACTGCAGTGGGAAACGGGAAAATTTTAAGCAGTGGAGAGGTGCAACTAATTTACATATTAAATAGAGAGTTGACAATTTTGAAAATATCATAGTAAACAGTCAAGATGTAAAACCACTGCAGAAACCCAGAAAAGAAATAACAGTAGCTTACAATTAAAAAAACATTAACTAGTTCTCCACAATTCAGAAAACAAAAGATTCCTCTTTTAAATTCAAGCTCTACAAGGCCAAGTGGCAGAAATGGAACCCAAAGGGAGAGTATCTGAAATGCAGACGAGGCTCAGGTATCATTCAAGCCTACTAAATAAGCATGCAGAATTTAGTAAGACTCCCAGGAGATTGATATATAAAGTTTGAAAGCTGTGTCATCAATTATGTCACCCTCTCACCACTCCCCAAAAAACCACTCACAGGATTCTTTAGCAGTGATAAAATACAATGCAACTGGTAGTCTTCAAACTGCTTTCTGGTTTTCTTCTGAAAGTCAGATTCTTGTGGATTTATGTTTATGACATTACAATGAATGCACCGTTTATAAGATATAAACTTGATCCTTTTATCCACTGACGAGTTTACTTGATTCCTGCCTTTAATTCTGAAGCCTAAATTCACAAACACACATGCATACATACACATATTCCTGATCACAGTCACACAGAAGCTCACATGTAGACTAATTTGATGTTACAACAAATATTATGTGCTTACACACTATAAACATGCTGGCGGCCTGCCTCTTTCGCCATCTTCCAGTCTGGATAGATTGCTGTCAGACAAGGCCCAAAACACAGCCCCACCCAGCCAACAAAGGAGTCTCCTGGCTATGCCACATCTCTCAGGACAATGCCCACACCCACAGACAACAGGGCTGATGCCATCCGCGCTTCGGGTAGAAGGTTCAGCTTGCCTGCTGACTGGAAGAGAGGAAGTACTTAATGTCAGAACCCTGGAAGTGTTTCCGTCCCATCAAGGAAGCTGATCTGAAAACCAAAACCAAAAGGGAGAACTACGAGAAACGGAAAATTAAACTTTTCTTCCATATGGAATGAAGAACTACTGAATCAAATCTCCAAGTCCCACTACCTTTAGATTTCCCTCAAGAATTCTTCCCAGACTTTTGATGAAAAGTGAACTTCCATCCACTATATTCTAGTGTGAATTGGGTTTTCTACTCACTACACCAAACGCAGATGCTCAGATACGGGGACATGCCACACAACCAACTGCCTTCAGGACTACTAAAGAAGACACTTTTTTTTAAGGTTTTATTATTTTTATTGCAAAGTTGGATATATAGAGAGAGGAGGAGAGACAGAGAGGAAGATCTTCCATTTGCTGATTCACTCCCCAACTGACTGTAATGGCCGGTGCTGAGCCGATCCGAAGCCAGGAGCCAGGAACTTCCTCCAGGTCTCCCACACGGGTACAGGGTCCCAAGGCTTTGGGCTGTCCTTCTCTGCTTTCCCAGGCCACAAGCAGGGAGCTGGAAGGGAAGTGGAGCAGCTAGGATACAAACCCATGCTTAAATGGGATGCTGGCTCTTGAAGGCAGAGGATTAGCCAGGTGAGCCATTCTGCCTGTCCCTTCACTCACTTCTGATCCTTCTCCCTACAGCAGAATATAGTCCAAGCCCTTGGGTCCTGAGAGCCATGTGGGAGACCCAGAAGCAGCTCTCTGCTCCTGGCTTCAGTATGTGATAGCCCCACTTGTGGCAGCCATTTGGGGAGAGAAACAGCTGGTGGGAGATAGTTCTCACTCTGTTCCTCCCTTTCTCTGTAACTATTTTTCAAATAAATAAAATTAATTTTTTTTTAAAAAAAGCATGATGGGATATGATTTTTTTTCTTGAAAAACTGTCAGATTACAGGTAATCTTAGAAAACTGAGAATCCTGGAGTACAAGCTACAAGGGATGTGCACTGGCAAACCATTTTATATAAATATGTATATCTTTACATCCATTTATACATATGTATATTTCTCCACTGATGTGGAGAAAATAATTCATGTTCAATATCAGTCTCATTTTCACTGAGGGCAAACGTCAACCTCTATATTAGAGTATCACAAGAAGTTCACAGAAAACTAAACCTTAAAAAAATGTATGGGCCTGGTGCAGTAGCCTAGCAGCTGAAGCCCATCCCTTGAACGCACTGGGATCCCATATCGCCGCCAGTTCTGATCCTGGCGGCCTTGCTTCCTATCCTGCTTCACATCTAGCTCCCTACTTGTGCCTGGGAAAGCAGTAGAGGACAGTCCAAAAGCCTTGGGACCATGCACCCGCATGGGAGACCTAGAAGAAGCTCCTGGCTCCTGGCTTCAGATCAGCTCAGCTCTGGCTATTATGGCCACTTGGGGAGTGAATCAGCGGATGAAAGACCTTCCTCTCTGTCTCTCCTCTCTGCATATCTGACTTTGCAATAAAAAATAGACAAATCTTTAAAAATAAATAATTTTTTTAAAGCATGGATTTTCAAGATTTGTTTATCAAAATAAATATATATTTAATTCAATTTTCCATAAACTTTTGAAGTCCCTTTATAAACAATAAAAAAAAGTTTGAGCCAAAAAATGAAACAACACAAAACACACCACCCACATGCGTAGGCAGCACAGTGGCACTGCATGTTAATCTTCACCCTGTGGTGATGGCATCCTATATGGGGACCAGATTATGTTCCAGCTGCTCTACTTCCCATCCTGCTCTCTGCCTAAGAAAGCAGAGGAGGATGACCCAAAGTCTTGGGACCCTATGGCGATATGGGAAACACAGAAGTAGCTCAGGGCTCCTGGCTCTAGATCAGCTCAGCTCTGGCCATTGTGGCCATTTGGGGAGTGACCAGCAAATGGAAGATGTTCTATCTGACCTCTCTGTAAAATCTTTCAAATAAATCTCAAAGCAAAATGAGAGTTCAGTTTCTCAAAAAAAAAAAAAAAATTTTCAGCAATGAAAATGTTTATGAAATCCTAAGAAATCATTTCATTATAATAAATTAACATATTTGGCATTTCAGAAATGTATTCAAAGACTAAAAATATCATTAAATCAGTTATTCCATAATAAGCTCAATAATACACTGAAAAACACTGCACAAAGTAGAAGACGGACATCTGCAGAGCATCACATTTCCAGCATTCTCTACTGTGATGAGAAAAAAATTCAAGTTATACATAAAATTCAGGAAATTACTAGTCTGTGTAATTTCCCAAAAAATATTTTTCAAAACGTTTTAATATTTGTAGTAGACAAAAAGATAATTGAATAACCTATTGTGTCTATCTTTTAAAAACAGTAGAACATTTAATTTTATACAATACTACTTTATAAGCATTTGATGAGCTATTAAAACTTTCCTGGAAAGGCATAATTCTAAAAACATGAGCTCAAGGTAAGCCGAACAGTGAAATGGTTTAAAGCGTTCTTTAATGGATCCTCCTTTACAATTTGACCAGCAACTTTTCATATCTGACATAAAATCTATAGATATAAATCACATTAAAGGACTATTCTTTCCTGATTATCAATCTCTGTCTCTTTGGAGAACATTAGAGTCACATTTGACCTTAAAACATGATAAAGGGAAAGCAAACAAGAATGTTTCATAAAGATATAATGAACTTGGATTTATTTTTTAAGATATTACTTTAATGTAATTTGAAGATGATCTTATTAAAAACCACCAATAAATTCTATGTATGATATCCGGATGAGCATTACTTGCTTCAAGATCAAATGCAAGCTGCTTTCACTGGTACACATATCTGCATGTGAATATGTACTTGGGAAGGAGTTGACGATTCCATGATATATAAACAAAGAATGTCACTTATCAATAAATAATGAGACCTAAATTTCATTCAACTTTATTTTAGGCAGAAAATGTTATAATTTCATCAACTTTTTAATTTTCTTGTGTTTTTCATTATTTAATTAATGTGATTAGCAGAGAGATGGTGGAGGAGGAGAATGGAAAGGGAAAGAGAAAAAAAAAAGACTCCATCCATTGGTTCACTCTCCAGTAGTTCCAGGAAGTTAAACTGGGTGTCAGGAAATTCAGTAGAAGTCTCTGAGGTGAGGATAGAAACCCCACTGCCTACTGCCTCACTGCTGCTTCCCTGCATCTGCAGTGCCAAAAGCTGCAATCAGGAGCTGGACTGGACACTTAACCCACCCACCCTAACGTGAGATGTGTTACAGCAAGCGTCCTCACAGCTAGGCTACATGCCTACCCTGCTTTGCTAAGCAGCATATAATCTAAGTCATAAAACATCTCAATAGGGTCACGAAGCATCTGACTCTAGAAAGGAATGAAGGGATCTGTAATGAACAATTCAACCAGATTTGATTATCGCTACCTATGTTTGATCACTGCCATTCCAGGAAAAAGAAGATAAAAGCAAAGTAATTCAGACTGTAATTCAAATGCTGTTTTGGCTCTTTAAATGTAAATGAAGGAACAGAGACAGATCTCTGTTGAATCTAGCCTAGGTTTCATGGCTCTACCAAATAGTACTGAAAGCTTTTTTGGCCAGAAAGATCAGGAAATTAAGTTGATTCCTCTGGTTTCCTTTTCTTATCAACTTA